ACCGAGAAGGATTATCCCAGGATTTCATGGTCCCGACATTGCTGCGTTGAATCGCGCTATGCTTGCGCCCTCCACAGCAGGCGTGCTTCTTGCTCTACAGAGCCGGTTCACTATCAAGGCTAAGGCCTTGGTCGGCGACGTCGAGTTTGCTTCTGCAGAAGGGCTCCGAAATTAGCGGGAAGAACCTGTTTGCCCCACCCCCTGCGGGAGGCATTCCTGGCGAAGATGCGAACGAATTGCTCGCGTTGGATTGCCGGCAGAAGTTTCTTGAGTCGTCGCCAGCCGTCCGGGCTGGGGCAGATGTCTTCTGACGGCGGCTAAGGAGCATGGCTTCGCTCGCCATCCCCTGGCGCCTTGCGGCACGCTCATGCACGAGACTCTTGGCGGGCGCCCCTGGCAGTTTTCTGGGCTCGTCCTCGTTGGAGCAGATAATTTGTTGGGAGGCGGTATGTGAGATAGACGCTTCGTTTTCACTCATCGTCTTCGCAAGTGGTTCAAATGCGGGAGATGGGTTGGATTCGCGGAGGGCGCTACTGAGCGCGGCGGGCTCACTTTGCGACGACCCAACAACTCAGACTTTCCAATCTCTATGGCGCGGCATCTTCCAGAAAGAGCTCGACCTATTTGTTCCCCAGGGGGGCGTCGCAATATCCCTGAGCTACCAGCCGCGCCATGGGAGGACGCAGCCATGCGCGGGTTGCGTTGGAAGCTCAGTCTACGCGCGCCGAGAAAGTGCCCGACGGCCCGGGTGGCGCATCTGCCCCGGGCAGCGCGCTGACCAACCCCGAGGCAAAATATTTCATCGAGGCAAGTGTCGCGCCACGACGCCTCAAGGACGCCAGCGCCACCATTTTCTTCATGTCTATACCCGCCCTTCTCTCGCATCCGCCTGGTCGCTCTATGCGATTCGCACCATGATGGATGCGAAATCCCTCTACGCATGTATCCATCAGGAACAGTCCGCCTCGGCCGAGTAGCGAGCAGCTTTGGATATTGCTGTGATTCGGAACTCCTTGGAGAACCTCGGTGGTCAGCGTCGCTGGTTTCCGCGCGGACTGAACCCCGCGGACGGTTTGGCGAAGTGAAAAGGCAAGTTACGCACTGCTGGAGAATAGCAGGCAGTGGATCGGAGGATAGCATGTCGGTTGGCCACCGGGAAACGCAATGCGAGACAACATATTTCGGAACAACACAATATCTTCCGCCGAGCACTACATTCTTCCCGCGCGTCTCCCACTCCGCCTCCGAAGCGTCCCATCCCTTCTAATCAGCCCGCATCCAACTCATCTCTATTGTCGCGTGGTTCCTAATATTGTCCTCATCGTGCAGCGCGTGTGTCAGCATGGCACGATGCATGGCCGTTTGCAGTTTTTGACTTTGGCTTCGTTGCCGGGACCCCCCCTGCCTGCGGAGCCATGCCGCCTGAGCAGCCAGCGCCTGTATCCTGGCCCATCTACTGGATGACCCCCCAGCCGCAGAAGCTACGGCGACGACGTGGACTGCGTCTTCCACGACTGCGAGGGATACGACGACCCAGTGGACGGAAAGGAGATCAGCTCAGGTGGTTCTCCGGCTGCAGTGGCCGATGATCCTTGGGCTGATCCGAAGAGGTCCACAGGCCAGGCTTTTGCCTCATCCGCCGAAGGCTCAGCGCCAGCTGCGCCTCCTTCGGAGCGCCCCCGTGCGTCTCCATCTCACGAATTTCGAGAAGAACAGGAAGCAGGTGAGGTGCATCAGAGACCTCGGGACGTCCTTCAGAGGACTCTGGAGGAGACTCGCCCAGACGAGAGATCCCGGCCTGGGCGCTCTGGGAACTGCAGAGATCGACGAGGAGCTGCGCGGCGAGCAGCCAATGTCCACCGCCACGCGGAACCCGTCCGCCCTGGACCGGCTTCAATCAAAGGGCCGAGGCACCATCGTCCGCGATGGCGGCGACAGTGATGTCGTGTACTTGGGGCCCATGGAGGGCGCCGGCCTGGGGGGGCCTCTAATCCGAAATTTGGTCAACACATGGAGGAGAAGATGAAGAAGCGGGGTGGCGAGATCATCCAGCGCCGAGGCCAGAATGCGACGAGGGTGCGTAGAATGGACGAGTACAAGAGGACCCTCGATGACCACGTCGACCACCTCGAGCTCCCCGAGTACGCCCCAGGGGAGTGGGTGCAATCCGAACCAGTTCCAAATATCCATCACCTCAGAGGACACGTTGCGCTTTGGATGTCCACGAGCCGAGACTTCGAGCTAGAGCTGCGCCGGCTGGAGAATGTGGCAGACGTGATGCAGCCCATCGAAGGCGGTTCGGTTCCCCGTCGGACACGGCGCCCGAGCTGAGTCTCAACGGCTCAAGCTAGAGCGGCACATCGACTTGACCCAAACCAGGAGGGCGTTGATCAAGCAAGGGGGCGAGGCGGAGAACGGACTCGTCTGCGCTCGACGCCAATTTGAGGAACTGGAGCACAATGCCACAGAGGAGATCGAGCCCGGGGCCCCAAGCAAGGCTAGCTACACGCAGGCGCTGCCGACCTTCCTCTACAGGTTCGCGGTGCGTTCGGAGATGCAATGCACGCGGCGTGCCAGAGTGAACCAGCTCGCGCAGTCCTCCTACAATTTCCACGCCTGTGCTTCCTGGGACTGCTACTCCAAGAAGATGTTGCGATTGCAAGTTCGCATGATCATGTGCGCCTTGAAGGACAAATCGAGCAACTTCAGCTTGCTGGCGGACACTGGGGAACCCGTGGATGGTCCGAAAAGCCTTCGAGAACCGACCAGACATGACCTCGGCCGCGCACCTTTCAGCGGACGGACTCGACCCTACCCTTGACCATCGAAGCTGTTGCAACGAAAAGGGCCAAACACCCGGGGCGCCGACAGAACGGAGAGATCAAGCGCCAGACCGCGCAGGCCGAGGGCGTTGCGGACGCGGGCTCGGGCGGGAGCGATGACGAGCAGGAGGAAGATCCCAGCGGTGGACCGCTTGGCGCGGCATCCGGCGAGGACCCTGCTGGCGACTCCCTGAAGCGCTCCGAGAATCCCCGCGGCGCCTTCCTGGAGAGGAAGCTCGCGGCCGAAGCAAAAGCAAAGACGCGAGAAGTGCAGCAATCCAAGGGGGCAAAACCGGCCCGGGCGCCGACTGTAGCTCGGCCTCAGGCAACGAGAGGACCCGTGCGATCTGATGCTGCCTCCTCGTCTGCGCGGCGTCCTCATGGCGAAAAGGACATCGTCGATGACGCGGTCAAGGAGGCAGTCGAGGAAACGCCGGCGCCCGACTACAAGCTATCACTCTCCAGGTCGAAGTGCATCGGGACCATCGATGTCTACGTTTTGGTTCCTGTTGAGCATGACAACATGTCCGCCCCGGCCCACCGTCGGAGCCAGAACGCGAGTTCCCCGAATATTGTCGTTACTCCAGGTGGAAGGATCGGCTGGACGGATTTGGGGTTTGCTCACAAGCGGGGCCTGGGTTTTCATTGCGCCGCCAGGCAAGCAGGGAGTTGGAGGCTCGATGAAGATGCTGGACTGGGCGTTTCTCCGGACAACTTGTTTGACATTCCGAGTGACAAGGCTGCGAACCAAACCCTCCTCTCGCGGTGAAGTGGAGCACCTGGGGCGTTGGAATCTAGGAACTCCTGCCAGAGGCGGGTGCCAGGTCTGGATCAACATTGACGACTTTAAGCAACAGGACGCGCTTCCCGCGCGCCAGCAGCCGCCGCGCTACATCGCGACGGTGGAGAGGCAAACGATCCCGCGGATGAAGCGCGGGGCGGCGGAGGACGAGATGGTGGAAGATCGGGGCGCGGACGTGGACAAGACGATGCAGGACGAGCCACCCGATGCAGGGCAGCAGAACGGACGCTGGCCGACCGACGACCGGATCTCACATTTGGTGCGGAAGAGCTGTGCTCGACAGACGCTGGACGAGCGAGCTCAGAACCCGACCGTCGCCTTCAACATGCCCCTGGCGGAGACGCTAGCAGCTCAGCATCAGTGCTCGAGATGTCCTGCCTTTCGCATCTGGATGAAGCTGTCGACGTCCATGCCCGCCAAGGAAGGTGCCAACATGATCGCATCGTGCAATGCCTTTGGCGCCGAGGTCGCTGTGCAATAGCTGGCGACAGCAGCTGCGACCACGGGGTGCCCTCTCCACGGTTAGTTCGCTGTGTGCACAGATGCCGAGACCTGGGATCCCTTGATTTCTCGCTCCGCGTCAGATCACGTTTGGAGGGTATTCGGCGACCTGCCTGGTTGGGTTCCCGCGGCGCTGGCTCTCAACGGCGTGACTTACAATGACCTTCCGAAGACTGGCAGGAAACCCTGGCACCCACCACAGGAGAAGAAAAAGCTAATGAACGACAGCCGAGGGGAGTTGGTGAAAGACGGGTAGACTGCTCTCTGGGATATCATGGATCAGATCGCGGTTCTCGGCGAGCACGGACCGAGACACAAGGTACGGCACCTTTCTAGGAAACTACCTCGAGTTGGCGAGCGCCGCGCTCCTTCTCAAGAGAGATTAGACAACGCCCCGCCAGCTGGGGAAGCCATCCAGGAGGCCATGGCCCCCGCGATAGGCCCCCGAGATGAATCTACATTCGTGCATTTCCGGGACACAGGTGGATCGCAAACGCCGCGCAGGCTTTCCCAAGTACATGTTCACAAGCAGCGGTGCCAAGTCGAAGGCAGTACCTACGTCACCAAGATTTGGATCCATATTTCGACGACGAGGGGGATCTGGTTCAATACCCAGACGAATTAGCAATTTGGCAGCCTCTCCTCCTCTCTCGCCTCCGTCCCACCTCCCTTGTGTGCTGCCACTGTGGCTCACAAAGGCCCTTGCGTCACCTGGCGCGCAGGCGACGGGCGTGCCCTGGCCCCCGCAAGAAAAAAGATAGCGTGCTCTCTCATAGTACGGGTTCCCTTACTTGTACTTCGTGTCTTTCTGTATTACATACACCCACTCCCGCGAATTCCACGGAGTTCCTCTCCCCAACTCGCTGCCGCCACAGGACTTCGGGTGGGGCCACAGGCTGCTGGACTTCAGCGACCACCTGAACCTGGTCGCGCCCGCCCGTGATCAGAGGAGGGCCCGGTGAGCGACGGAAGAGAATAAAGGGCCGATTGTGTGGACAGTCGCGCGTAGGCTGCACGGGTACGGTCGCACGTACGCGCCCTGGTTTCCGTGCGGTGTGCCGCGTTGGCGGCCCCGCGTAAGCCATGCCATCTCGAATAAGACCCGTTTCGTCCGAGGACCGATGGCGAGTCGCCTTTGTTTCAATTCGACCTGCTCCGACGTTCGCGCGCGGAGCCATTTCTGCGCGGCAGTGGCGGGAGGGGGAGGCGGATCGGAGCACGCATCCTCGCGCTTCCGAACCTGTGCTTGTTAGCTGTTGTAGCGTCCTGGCCGCTGGCGGCCAATTGGGTTGCAACGTTTCGTTGCAGCGCCCTGTTGTTGAATGCCAGCACCCCGTTCCGATATCCACATCCTCCGATGCCGTCATTTGTCGAGGGAACGATACATCGCGCATTGACGCAATGGCGCGAACTCGATGTGGTGTACCACGCGATTGCTGTCACCCGATTCCCGGCCGACCACCTCCAGCCCACTCAAATTCAGGGGCAGCGCTAGCTGCTCATGGGGGGATGCATCGACCCCAATGGCCCATCCATCGCCTCGGCATCGCTCTGACGTGTGCATTTTTTCTTCGGCGGGAACCATCGAGGACCATCCTGGACCATCGAGCAAAACAAAAACACGCACGAAACCGAAAAATGCACGGGAAATGGACGTCCGAGCGACGGCAAGTCGCCGATAGGGGCCCGATGGCCCACCCCGACCAGGACTGGGCGGTTTCGCTATCGGGAGACCATCGCCGAAGCATCGCCGGTTTCAGCTCGATGCCGCCGTTCAGCCAGTCCCCCCCCGCCTAACGTTCCCCCTCAAGAACCCACAAGCCCCACAGGAGAGGCCAGCTTTGGGCCAGCGTCCTTACCCCTCCTGCCACCTCCGCCTCCTGCGCTCCCCGTCTGCTACTTCCCATCTCTCGAGTAGGGGATCGACTACAGAAGAACTGATGCACCCCAGGATTTCTTGCCGAACCTACGACGATACGTAACATGTCCGTAGATTTGCGAACATTGGCCCCCCCTTGTTCGGATCCTGTTGGGTCAAACGACAAGGGGGGACAGGCACAGGGGGGGCTGTCGTGAAATCTGCTGCGTGCCGCTGGTTCCGGCCCCGCCGCCGGGCGCCGTCCTGCATGCGCGGGCGCTGCCGGCGCCGGGAGGTGCCGGGCGAGGGAGAAGCAGCTTCGGTCTGGACGCCCGAAATGGGTACTGAAAGAATGGGTACAATGCCCAACAACAATTCCTGTTCATTTTGAACAGGATTCGCTGTCCACGCCGCCGCGGCCGGTGTCCATTCGAGACAGAAGGCCGCCTGCCCAACAGCGGCCGCTGTTAGCTTGGGACAACATTTGTTGTTGGGCATAGTGCCCATTCTTTCCGTACCCATTTCGGGCGTCCAAATTCGTGAGCTGATTCGCTTCCGGCCGACCCGGGGCAGGCGATCGCAGACATGGATCAAGGGGGCGTATAGAATAGCGACGAGTCCCGCTTCGATGAAAAATCGCGGATCTCAGCCGCTGGGCGAGGCGGCACCGGCCGCATTTCGGGGAGGGCACCTCCCCCGATGCATGGATTTGGCGACCGCGCGCCAAATCCATGGATCGCTAATCCATGTTTGCGCGCCCCCGACCAGAGATCCGATGCATTCAATTTTTTCTGTGCGGGGTCCCCAGAAGTCCGGACCCTTTCGCCAGCACTGGCCTTCCATCCTCAGTAGTTTGTTGACGGTCCCGTGGCCCGATGAGGGCTTGCAGAGGCCGCCAACGGCGCAAAATTGCCGTCTTGACTGTTTCAGGAAGCTGGATCTCTGGGTTTGCTGTGGTCCGACCCGATCCTCGCCATCATCCCCCTGTCGGGGCCGGCCACGAGAGGCCATGGCAACGGGGCGGAGATCATGACGGGGGCCATGATATCTCCCCAGATTGCATGGCCCCTCTTCTTATGCAATCGCTTCGCTCACTCCGCCGGCCCATTTTTTTGTACCACGGTGGCTGCATGTGCTCGTACACATAGGGAACGGTTGGACAGGCAGGACTGTCTTCGAGGAGATTTTTGGACTTGTGGGGTTCGCACCCCGTCGAAGAGAGTTGATAGACTGCCCCAGAGGCGCCAAAATGGCTCAAGAGAGCTCCCGCAGAGTTTCGAGACCTACATTGGTCGTGGGTCAGAGTCTCCATGGATGTTTCTTGGGGTCTCTTCGGAGGGCGATCGGGAGCCTCTAGGGAGCAGTTTTGAGGCATCTGGCGGACCTTTTGGGGGCTTCTTGGGGGCCTCTTGGAGCTTCATGGGGGCCTGCTGGGGGTGGGGTCTGGGAAGCCTCTTTTGGGGCCTCTCTGGGGCTTTGGGGGCCTCTTGGGGGCTCTTGGACTCTTGGGGGCCTTCGGGGGACTTCCTGGTGGACGCCTCTTGGAACCCTCCTGGAGCGACTTGGGAGTTTCTTGGGTCGTCTTGGAACAAAAGTGGGCTATCGTGGAACGCTCTTGGCCTGCGGCCGTGGGGCGTGCCACCCCTTTGGCGCCACGTCGGGGCGCTCGGGGGAGCCCCGAGGCCGCGCCCAAGAGTTCCAGCATCTCTGGTCCGACCTTGCCGGAACCTTGCCGGGGTATGTTTTGTCCGCGGACCCCCAGGGGGCGTGCTCGCGATTTAGAAGCATTCTTAAATTCTTACCCAGGATTTTAGCACGTCTCTGGCCCGTTGGGCCGGCGAATCTCAATGCGTTCCCTGGCCCCCGCTTGGACCGCGCACGTGCCTCGGGCCATGACTTGCGCACCCTCCTCTCGGACGCCCCCAACCCTCCACCGAGCTCGACGGCAGCGACTGCGACTCGGTCCCGGCCGGCCTCCGTCTCGCCTCGGGCTTGGCCGCGCGCCCGGCCCGCGCGGGTGCTGGCTCTGGCCAGCACAGGGTCTCGCGGGGGAGCCCCCGCCCCCCCCTGCGGGCTCGGGAGCAACTCGTGCTGGCGGCTGACGCTCTCTGTGGCCTGTCGGTGGTCGTACGGATGACATGCAAGTGGGAGGCTATGGCGTTCTGTTGTGCGCCTTGGAAGCGCCCATAGCGCGTCCTGATTTTTTTAAGTTTGGGATATCAAGCTCGTATATTTTGTTGGTAGTTCCCAGCTGTCGTTGTGTCTCTTTTTCAGCTGTCCGCCACAAGACGTTTTTTCTCCGCTTCCAACGTTACTGCGATGACGCTTTCTGTATAGTGTCCAGAAGTTCATTCGGGCTGGGTCTCGCCATGTTTTTCTGCATTTTCTTGTAACCTCAGGAGGTCTTCAGCTTTGGGTCCCCCCCGTGTTTCTCTCGGCGGGGAACAAGCTCGCCCCTCCTCCTGCTCCTCCTCCTCCTCCATCTCCTCCTCCTCCTCCTCCTCCTCCTCCTCCTCCTCCTCCTCCTCCTCCTCCCCCCTCGTCGTAGTCGTCGTCGCGGCGGACATGATATAGCTGCTACTAGAATATTGCTTCTACCACTGATTACGACTATTACGACTATACTAATACGACTGCTGCTACTACTACGACTACGACTACGACTACTACTACTACTACTACTACTACTACTACTACTACTACAACTACTACTACTACTACTACTACTATTACTACTACTACTACTACTATTATTACTACTACTACTACTACTACTCCTACTACTACTACGGTACGGGGCGGTACTACTACTACTACTACTAATAATAATAATAATAAAAATAATAATATTACTACTACTACTACTACTACTACTACGACTACTATTATTACGACTACTACTACTACTACTACTACTACTACTACTACTATTTCTGCCATGCCACTGCTACAACGACTACTACTACTACTACTACTACTACTACTACTACTACTACTACTACCGTTGCTACTACTAGTACGCCTACTACAACTACTACTACTACTACTACGACTACTACTACTATTTCTACTACTACTACTGCTACTACTAACTCTACTACCACTAACTCTACTACTACTACTACTACTACTACTACTACTGCTGCTAGTACTACTACTATTACTACTACTACTACTACTACTACTACTAATGCTATTTCTGCCATGCAACTACTACAACGACTACTACTACTACTACTACTACAATTACTACCACCCTTACTACTACTACTACTACTACTAGTACCACCACCACTAGTACTACTACTACTACTACTACTACTACTACTACTACTACTGCTACTCCTACTACTACTACTACTACTACTAGTACTACGACAACTACGACTACCAGAACTACAACTACAATAGCAACTACTATTATTACTACCACCACTACTACTACTGCTACTGCTACTGCTGCTACTCCTACCACTATTACTACTACTGCTGCTACTACTACTACTACTACTACTTACTATTTCTAGTACCCTTTTTAACCACTACCATGCTTGTCTTAGCACTCAAGTATTATCTTTACTACGACTACTACTACTACTACTACTACGACTACTACTACGGCTATTACAACGTACTATTACGAAGGCTACTTCTTTCTATCATTCCTAATATCAGTATTGCTATTCGTACTACTACGGCGACGTGTTAAATTGCTAGTACGACGATTACGACTACTACTACTACTACGATTACGACTACGACTATTACTACTAGTATTAGTACTACTACTACTATTACTTCTGCTACTACTTCTACTGCTACTACTACGACTATTATTTCTGCTAGTGCTATTACTAGTAATAGTAGTACTACTACTACGATTCTGCGACTACTGTTACCACTACTACGACCACTGCTACGTACTACAGCTATTACTGCTACGGCGACGACTATTACAGCGAGTCTTACTCGCACTGGAATGACTCATATCCTCCCTTGTTTTACTTTCCATGGTTGTCGCTTCTACTACGGCGACTAGTTCTTTCATGGCTACTACTACGGCTTCCGCTACTACTTTTACCATGTCTACTCGTAGTACTACTACGCTGCTGCGCTACTGCTGCTACTACGACTACTACTACTACTTCTACTACCTTACACCTCTTACTACTACCTCTACCACCACCTGCTGGTACTCGTGCTACTACAGCTACTCTTATACTCTTACCCCTACTACGACTACCCCTGCTACTACGACTTACTTCGTCTACCAGTTGAACTACTACGGGTACAGCTACAGCTACTGCTACTACTACTGCGGCTGATACTACTATTGTTCCTACTACCACTACTACGACTGCTAGCACGAGTACGATTAGTACTACCTCTTTCTACTACTAGTCCTACTTCTACTACTGCAACTACTACTGCTGCTACTATGATGGCTACTACTACGACTACGGCTACTACTACTACTACTAGTACTACTACTACTACTACTACTACTACTACTACTACTACTACTGCTGCTACTACTACTACTACTACTACTACTTCTTTTCCTACTACTACTAGGACTACATCTATTACTACTAGTACTACTACTACTACTACTACTACTACTACTACTGCTACTGCTAGAACTACTGCTACTACTACTACTACTACTATTACCTCTTCTACGACAGTACTACTACTACTACTACTACTACTACTAATACTATTTTTCTGCTACTACTACTACGTACTGCGTACTACGTAGTACTACTACTACTACTACTACTACTACGACTACGACTACGACTACGACTACTACTACTACTACTACTACCACTACTACTATTACTACTACTACTACTCGTACTACTACTACTACTACTACTACTACTACTACTACTACTACTACTACTACTTCTACTCGCACTGCTACTAGTACTGCTGATACTACTACGAGTACCGTTACTACTCATACTACTACTACTACTACTACTACTACTACTACCACCACTACTACTATTCGTATTTTTCTAATACTGCTGCTACGACTACGGCTACGACTACGACAGTTATCACTACTACTACTTCTTATACTGCGACTACAACCACTACTACTGCTACTGTTGCTGCTGCTACTACGACTGCTGCTGCTACTCTTTGTGTTGCCGTGGCGGAAGTCATTTCCCTCTCATGTTGGGCGGGCTGGACCATGCTTGGTGTTTCGCTCTCCCAGGGAATAACCCATTGCGGGCTACCCTTGTCTCGGGAGGATTTCTGAGCTTCTCACGAGGACTGCATTACCAATCAGTGGCTGTGTTTGTGGTCGAGATGGTAGTCGCGATTGTGGTCGTAATCGTCGGCGCGATTGTAGTCGTAATCGTAGCCGCCATCCCAGTCGTAATCGTGATCGCCGCCGTCGTCGCGGCGGAGATTCTCTTCCCTCTACTGTTGGACGGGCTGGAAAATGTTTGGGGCATCTTCCTCCTGGGGAAAACAGCTCCCTGGGCTACCCTGCGCGACAGAGGAATTGTGAGCACGTTTATATAAGGATTGCAATCTAGGTCGGCACATTATTCGCCGAAGGCGTTGATCACAATCTCCTCTTTCATCTCCTTCGTCGTCGTCGCCTCTCTTATGGCCGCCCGTTAATATTTGTGTAATGTGATTGGTGGGGCCCCAGCCCGTCAACAAGGTCGCCGAGCAGTAATTCGTTCCCACCGTTTGTTCCCAACCATCCTGTGGTGTTGGCTCTTCGTTTTGAAGAGACGTCGCCCCGCGTTCTTTCCCGCTGCCCCCTTCCCTCCTCCCATCTTCATCATCATCATCGCCATCATCCTCATCATCATCATCACCATCGACATCGCCATCATCATCAGCACCATCATGGCCGTCATCCCATCAGCGTCAGCGTCATCCCATCATCATCATCACCATCGACACCCAGTTCGGCACACCCCTCGCGCGTTTCGTGGCCCCATAGGGAGCTCCACCGAAGGCCCCAGTGTTGCCGCCCGCATGCGTCACGCACACTCGATTCAGCACACCCCTCACACGCTTCGTGGCCCCATAGGGAGCTCCACCGAAGGTCCCAGTGTTGCCGCCCGCATGCGTCCCGCACACCCAATTCGGCACACCCCCCACGCGTTTCGTGGCACCATAGGGAGCTCCACCGGAGGCCCCAGTGCTGCCGCCCGCATGCGTCACGCACACCCAATTCGGCACACCCCTCACGCGCTTCGTGGCCCCATAGGGAGCTCCACCGAAGGCTCCAGTGCTGCCGCCCGCATGCGTCCTGCACACCCATGTCGGCACACCCCTCACGCGCTTCGTGGCCCCATAGGGAGCTCCACCGAAGGCCCCTGTGCTGCCGCCCGCATGCGTCCCGCACATCTATTTCGGCACACCCCTCACACGTTTCGTGGCCACATAGGGAGCTCCACCGAACGTCCCGGTGGGTGTGCCCGCATGCGTCCCGCACACCCATTTCGCACACCCCTCACACGTTTCGTGGCCCCATAGGGGCTCCACCGAAGGTCCCAGTGGGTGTGCCCGCATGCGTCCCGCACACCCATTTCGGCACACCCCTCACACGTTTCGTGGCGTGGCCCCATAGGGAGCTCCACCGTGGAGGCTCCCAGTGGGTGTGCCCGTGCGTCCCGCACGTGCACCCCTCACACGTCGCGTGGCCCCATCGGGAGCTCCACCGGAGGTCCCAGTGGGTGTGCCCGCATGCGTCCCGCACACCCATTTCGGCACACCCCTCACACGTTTCGTGGCCACATAGGGAGCTCCACCGAAGGTCCCAGTGGGTGTGCCGACATGCGTCCCGCACACCTGCGTCCCGCACACCCATTTCGGCACACCCCTCACACGTTTCGTGGCCCCATAGGGAGCTCCATCGAAGGTCCAAGTGGGTATGCCCGCATGCGTCCCGCACACCCATTTCGGCGCACCCCTCACACGTTTCGTGGCCACATAGGGATTCCACCGAAGGTCCCAGTGGGTGTGCCCGTATGCGTCCCGCACACCCATTTCAGCACACCCCTCACACGTTTCGTGGCCCCATAGGGAGCGCCACCGAAGAAGATATTCACAATTGCGGTATTCACAATTGCATATGGTTGGGTCCTTCGCCAGGATAATTTGTTGGGGCTTGCCCTCAAGACTTTTGATCGACCTGTTTAGACGTGTCACGTGTCTTGACAATGGCCGCTCCGTAGGCAGATCCCGGCAGGAGGCCGCAGCGCACGTCAGCAGCAACAGCGCGCAGCTGCAAAACAGGACGGACAGGACGCAGCAGCGGGCAACATGGAATGGCAAGCGTATGAAGTAGCGAGCTGGCGGCTGCAGCAGGAGCCTTTTCTGGAAAACGTGCCAGCCTCGGTTCGTGCGTTGGTCCATCAGTCGCTCTCCGCGCCCCCCCCCGGCGGGTGCGCGTCAGATCAAAAGACCTCGGGGACCACTTCATCCCCTGGTTCCTAGGCTGGCACCCAGGCCGGCCGAAGACACGCACATGCACATTCAAAACCCAGAGCGGGTTCAAATTTTGGGAACGGGAAGTACACATGGCTTGAGAACGAATTGGAAACGTACTCAAAACGGCCCCAGACAAACCATGTTGGCCACATGGCCAGCAGGAGAGCCTGGCCATGTGGTCTGAATTGCTTGCCATGAGACCGTCTTGCCAGCGAGGCCGAAGAACCAGAGGATGAGGTGGTCGTCGAGGTCTCTGGCTCTGTCACGCACTCGGGGGGGTCCGAGAGCGACTGAAACGCACGGACCGAGGTCGACGCAATCGCTTCAAGGAATGCTTATGCACTTGTCGTTGCATGCTGTCTTCTGCCCCCGCCTGTTGTTGCTACTTGCTACTGCAAGGTGCTGCGTCCCGTGTAGTTCCCATTCGTCGCTCGCACATAATAATGCATTATGATCGCGATCCAGATTTTAGAATTGTGCTCAGCGCCTCGTGCCTTTACCGTTCCCTGTTCGCGCCTGTCCGTTGTTCAAGAGGTTCCATGTGCTCCCGCACACACACACATAGTTTACGCAACGTGTTCGGGCTCAGCTGTTTTTATCGTTTCCAGGTCCGCGATGTTGACCCACAATACGTAACAGTTAGAAACTATCAGTACACGCTCTGGATGTTTCCAAGGCGCATAAATATTGTTTCCCACAAGTGGTGGCATTCGGTGTTCGTGATGCTTTTTATTTCTCTGGTTTGCACGTTCCGTCTCCTTTGCTTCCGTTGTCTTCAAGATTTGGGGTCGTGCATTATTCTTTCGATGCCACCACGTGATGTCAGAATCCCTCGAATCCTTCCAGGCGCCCGGGCAACATAGTAATTGGGTCGTGTCTCGATTCGAACAGGGCATACCCCCTGTAACACCAGGCCCCGAGAGGCCTCGAAGCCCATGTGACTTCAGCGCTTGTCAGCCTGTCGACCTTGAATTTCGCCGTAGCCGAATCCTCCCAAGTTTGCTCCGCCCCACATTCTCTGCGCGGCTTGTTCGTGCACATACGTGAAGACTGCTTTCAAAACGAGCGTGAAGCCACGCTACACTTTGGTACGCAGCCCGATGCTTTACTGCCCGACGCCCCGAGACCCGCCGATCTGAACCGTGCCTGCTGCCATGACGACTCGGCAGAAGCAGAAAACGCACCCCGCCAGATGGGCGGGCTGCTCTACGGCGTCGCCGTGATGGCAGCATGCGGCCTGATGCTGTACTCAGCCGCCGCCTCGGCGGCCTCGCCAGGGCCCTCCCGCTCCCGCGCGCGCGGGCGTTACCGGCGCACCGCCTCCCTGAGGTGTGGGTTTGTCCTTAAGCCTAGGTTGGGGGATCGACCTGCGCGGACTTCGGCAGGCGGTGGGTATGGACAGATTCGATCCTTGTCTAGGGCCATAGACACATATATATATATATATATATATATATATATATGTATGTGTGCATTTGTATATATATAATATTTATATATGTGTGTGTGACTGTGTATTCAGTACCCAGCGCCGACCGAGGTCTTTGGGGATCGACCCCCAGGATGTCAGACAGATAGAGGAGCCAAACGCCGTCCTGCTCGTAGGCACAGGCATCTCGTGTACAAGTTGACTGAATATGGCAGAAACGGCTTTTTGTTGTTGACACACACGCGTAGCAAGAGGAAAGGAGGGGAGCAAGGAGAAGATCGAGGACGTCGAAGAGGCGAGATGACACAAACTTGAGAGTCGACGGTTGTTGTTGATGAGCCCCCCCCCTTGCAGATAGGGGCAGGGGAGGGAGGAGCGGGGAAGGGGGCAGCGGGCTTTTGTTTTGCTTCGCCGGTGTCAATGCAGCTGCAAGGTGGGCTGCTCGAGGTGGGCCAGGGGGGGGACCTCGGGGTGTGAGCGGAACCGCCCGCCTGAGGCCGAGCGTGTGTGGTTGAAGCTTGCCGTATCTGGAGCCCCGCGGAGCATCTACGACAGTTTGGTAGGCCCACGAACTCGTTTGCTTGGCAGGCACAAACGCGCGCGCGCGCGATAGCGAACGGGAGCGCGGGGTGTCGGCGGCCATGTCCGCCGACGAGCGCGACGCCGCGCAGGAGCGGCCTGCGAGTGGGAGGGCCGCGCGCCGCGCCGCGCGGCGCTGCCAGCGCTGGCTGTTTGTTCGCTTGGCCGCCGCTGGGATCCCGCGTCGCGGCGGCTCTGCGCGCGCGCGGCGCGCGCGCCGCGCAGGTTCCTTTCCTTGCTGCCAGCCATCGGCGCTGGCAGCTGGGGGTGCGGCGTTTTCTCCGCCGCCTGCTTGCTTCGCGCGCGCGCGCCGGCGGTCCGTCGCGCGCCTCCGACTGCTTGCTCCGCGCGCGCGCGCTTTCGCTGGCGGTCGCCGCGCCGCGCCTCCCTTCCGTGCAGGTTCCGATTTCCCCCATCCGCTCCTTTCTTCCGCGCGCGCCGCCGTCCTCGCTCGCTGCCCTCTCCTTCGCGCGCAGGTTCCTTCCCCGCTCCATCCCCCCAGGTGAAGTTGATTTCTACATGGACGACCTCAACGAGCTCACCTCGTCGATTTTGCTAGCTCGAAATCAATTCACATTTCTCCGCCGAGTAATGGCGGCTTCGCCGGCTTCGTCTTGCGCGGGGGACGTCGGGCCCTCTTGGTGCCCGATGCTCCCGCCAGGGCGGGTGCCGAGCGTTCGGGGGATCCGCGGAGCGTGCGGGCGCAGCTCGCCTGTCGGGTAATGGTGCAACGCTCGTGCCGAGCGTGCGCGTAAAGAGCGACCAGCGGGGCCCGCTGGCAACCGTGCCACCTCGCAAAGGGCCAGTTAATGCCCGCTGGCCAACTGGGGCCCAATGGCAACTGCGCCACTTCGCAAAAGGGCTAATTAGCGCCCGCTGGCCAACTGGGACCCTTTGGCAACTGTGCCACCTCGCAAAGGGCTAATTGGTGCCCGCTGGCCAACTGGGGCCCATTGGCAATTGCGCCACTTCGCAAAGGGCTAATTAGTGCCCGCTGGCCAACTAGGGCCCACTGGCAACCGCGCCGTTCGCAAAAGGGCTAATTTGTGCCCGTCGGCAAACTGGGGCCCGCTGGCAATTGCGCCACTCGCAAAGGGCTAATTAGTGCCCGCTGGCCAGCTGGGGCCCACTGGCAACTGTGCCACTCGCAAAGCGTAATTCGTGCCCGCTGGCCAACGGGGGCCCACTGGCAACTGCGCCATTCGCGAAGGGCTAATTAGTGCCCGCTGGCCAACTAGGGCCCACTGGCAACTGTTCCACTTCGCAGAGGGCTAATTAGTGCCCGCTGGCCAACTGGGGCCCGCTGGCAACTGCGCCATTCGCAAGGGGCTAATTAATGCCCGCTGGCCAACTGGGGCCCGCTGGCAATTGTGCCATTTCGCAGAGGGCCAATTTGTGCCCGCTGGCCACTTGGGCCCCTTGGCAACGGGGCCACCTCGCAAAATGGCTAATTCGCGCCCGCTGGCCAACTTGGGCCCGCTGCCAATCGCGCCACCCTCAGGGCCTAACTGTGGCCGCTGGCCAATTGGGGCCCACCGGCAATTCTTTACGCTTCGCGTGTCCCCACCAGCCCATCTCACAACGGCAACTCTTGCGAAGCGTGTCTTTTCAGGCGCGTGTCCGCTTGGCCCCGCATTTCTCCCCTGTTCCTCTTCTCCCGCCAGCGGGAGAAGGACGACGCGGGAGAGGAGGGGGAGAAAGCGGTGGGAGGCAAGAGGGACTCAGCGGGGAGTCCGATCTCAGCGATGATCTGAACAACGACGACGCACCCGACGACGGCGACGATGTCGACCGCGACGACGACGACCACAACTGCGACGACGACGACGACGACGTCGACGGCGACGACGACGAAGGCGGCGGTGCGGGCCCTCGTTGCGTGAGTCCTTCGGCCCCGTCGCCCTTGCGTGAGTCTTTCGGGACCCTATTCCTGGTGTGAGTCGCTCGGTGTCCTCGTCGTGGGAGTCGTTCGGGCCCCTCCTCCTGGTGTGAGTCGTTCGGGCTCCTCGTGTTGTGAGTCGTTCGGGCTCCTCGTGGTGCGAGTCGTTCGGGCGCGTCGTCCTGGTGTGAGTCGTTCGGGCCCCTCGTCTTGGTGTGAGTCGTTCGGGCTCTTCGTGGTGTGAGTCGTTCGGGCCTCTCGTCCTGGCGCGGGTCGGTGGGGCTTCTCGTGGTGTGAGGCGTTTGGGCACCTCGTCCGCGTGCGAGTCGTTCGGGCCCTTCGTAGTAGGAGTCGTGGTCGTCGTCGAGTCCAGCGATCTCCCCGACCAGCGTCGTCGTTGTTGCCATTCTGGCTAACAGTATTTCAGTGTGGCTGTGAGCTTCGCTCCGCCTACCAGGGATCCACGATCTTCAGGCTATACTAGTATCCACGCTGTCAGGCTCAAGTTTTAGATTTCTTCAAGGTTTATCACAGGGTTTCTATGTGTACAAAAGCTGACAATGGACACTAGAGTCCGTTGGCGGTTCTGCAGTCGCACGTTTCAGAAATGTCATGTTGTTGTTCTGTTGAATCATTTGCGGTCCTGTCTCAAGTTTTGCCTTCAAGTGAGTATTCCCCGACGACGACGACGACGGCGACGACGACGCCGACGGCGACGACGACGACGACGACGACCCTGCCTCTCGCTCCGGGCGGTCGTCTTGGCTGCTGGCAGCTGGGCGGCTCTGGGCGGCGTCGGGCCTCCGCTGGCCGATTACAAGATGCATATATGTATATCTTGTATATGTATGGTGTGTCGACGTATATATATATATATGTATATATATATATACATATGTATGTATGTATGTATGTATATATATATATATACATACATAAATATATATAACACGGACGCAGTTGAGAGTCGATGGGGGGAGGGGGCCTGGCCCGCGGCCTAGGGCGGGGCCCGAGACTCTGGGACGGGACCCAGGGCCTCATCATCGTAGGATGCCCATCATTCTCATCATCGCTACGATGGTGGGGGGGGAGGAGGACAGCTACCAACTGCGCGTTGGCGCCACCGCCGCCCCCCCGCGCCCGGCTGGCGCACCCGCAGTGCGGCTGCGGGAGGGGCTGCGCCTCAATTCCCGCAGAGGCGGTCTCCAGGAATGTTTCAATTTTGGCGTCTTATATAAACGCCCGAGCGGCCCGGGCCGCTCGTCCTGGCGTGAGTCGTTCGGGCCCCTCCTCACCAGCCCATCTCACAGCAGCAACTCTCGCGAAGCATGCCGACAGTCGTGTTTTCAGGCGTGTGTCCGCTGGGCCCCGCATATCTCCCCTGTCCCTCCTTCTTCCCGCCTCCTTGCGCATCCTCCTTGTGGGGGGAGCGGGAGAAGGACGAGGCGAAGGAGGAGGGAGAGCAAACGCTCCCCGTGGTTTGAGTCGTTTGGGGTTTCTCGTCCTGGTCTGAGTCGTTCGGGCTTTTCTTCCGGGCGTGAGTCGTTCGGGCTCTTCGTGGTGTGAGTCGTTCGGGCCCCTTGTCCTGGTGTGAGTCGTTCGGGCTCCTCGTGGGGCCTCTTGGGGGCTTCTTGGGGGCGTCTTGGAGCCTCTTGGTGTGACTGGGTCGGGCGCCTCAGTCTGGTATGGGTCGTTCGAGGCCCGCGTCGTGGCGCGAGTCGTTCGGGCTCCTCGCGGTGTGAATGGGTCGGGCGCCTCGCCCTGGTATGAGTCGTTCGGGCTCTTCCTTGTGGTGTGAGTCGTTCGGGCTCTTCGTGGTGTGAGTCGTTCGGGCCCCTCCTCCTGGTGTGAGTAGATGGGCCCCCCCCCTCATGGACAGAGTCGTTCGGGCCCCTCCTCGATGTGTGAGTCGTTCGGCGAGGGGCCCGAACGACTCACACAAGGAAGAGCCCGAACGACTCACACCAGGGCGAGGGGCCCCAACGACGCGCACCACATGCCGTCTGGTCCAGGACGTCGCCGTCGCGTGAGTCGACAGAGTCGGTTACATGTAGGATTGGAGGACGACCGCCTTCTGTCTTGCCTCCCATCGCCTTCTGTCCCTCCTCCTCTTCCTCCTCTTCGGCTCCTAGTCGTAGTAATAGAAGTGGTACCAGTAGGATCAGTTGTAGTACTGGTAGTGGTAGTAGCAGTAGTAGTAGTAGTAGTAGTAGTAGTAGTAGTAGTAGTAGTAGTAGTAGTAGTAGTAGTAGTAGTAGTAGTAGTAGTAGTAGTGTAGTAGTAGTAGTAGTAGTAGTAGTAGTAGTAGTAGTAGTAGTAGTAGTAGTAGTAGTAGTAGTAGTAGTAGTAGTAGTAGTAGTAGTAGTAGTAGTAGTAGTAGTAGTAGTAGTAGTAGTAGTAGTAGTAGTAGTAGTAGTACGTAGTAGTAGTAGTAGTAGTAGTAGTAGTAGTAGTAGTGTAGTAGTAGTAGTAGTAGTAGTAGTAGTAGTAGTAGTAGTAGTAGTAGTAGTAGTAGTAGTAGTAGTAGTAGTAGTAGTAGTGGTAGTAGTAGTAGTAGTAGTAGTAGTAGTAGTCGTCGTAGTAGTCGTAGTATTAACAGTAATAGTAGTAGTAGAAGTAGTAGTACTAGTAGTAGTAGGAGTAGTGGTAGTAGTAGTCGTCGTAGTGGTAGTAGTAGTAGTAGTGGTATTTCC